AAAAATGACATTCGGTAATAAACAATAATGAATCTTTTGTACATACAGTAAGAGAAATGATACTGTTTACACGATTATGCACGTCGTCTGCACGTTGGCGGGCCGTTCAAACCCGTCAATATTCAAGTTTCCGCCGTCAAAATTTTTAGTTATTTTTTTTTTGTGTTCCAATAAAATACGTTAAGAATTAAAAATTCGCGAAATTTGAGAAGCTACTATACGACATTTAACCCTTCAATATGTCTTCAAAGAGACCATGATGCAGAGAAAGTGGTGCTAGTGCTTCCAAGCATAAGCACAAGTCACTATCTATCCAGGAAAAGGGTGAATTTCCATGGTCCGGCACCGGTCAGGTCCTGAGGTTGCCGGACTAGAGAGGTACAACCTGTACTTTAACAGGCAATGTTCGGTGGATTTGGCATCCTGTGTTCTGCCGGCAAGGCCATGGGCTCATAACACACGTCTTGCCCGTGGTGCCCACCGTTTCTCTGTGGATAGCGGTCACACGAGAATAACCCGTTATAGTAGTACCTCCTTCTTTCCTCATACAGCCAAACTGTGGAATGCTCTGCCTTCTTCTGTGTTTCCAAACTTATACAATCTGTCTCACTTTAAAAAGCTGGTTTTTTAGCATCTTTGTGGTGTAGATTAACACAGTATAACCTTTTTCTTCTCTATTTTCAATTTTTTTTTTTTTTTTCGTCCCCCCGGCCCCATTGTGGGTCGTTTGACCTGTGCCCGGGTGGGCTAATTCCCGTAAAAAAAAAACAGGCATTTGGATATACGTAGTTACACGGAAGAAGGGAAATAAGGGTAAAGATTGGGTGTGGTGGAAATATTGTGCTCTGGCACTATGCTTAAAACGACGTATGGGAGAGCTACCTCGGACACTAAATGGATAAAACAAATTTATGAAACATTTTCAATACTAAGGATGAAGCATGATGTTACACACACACACATGACATTACAGAGTAATATTACCTTTCTTGTCTTGCTTGTGCGTTGGCTGGTTTGGAGTTGGTTCGTTCGAATCTTATTTTCAAAATTACCATCAAAGAGAGGTTTCCTTCATTTCTATGATTTACAAAGATATTTGAAGGGTATAAAATGCAATATACTAATACATATTGTCATCCATGCATCCATACTATGACTGCTTACCATTATACAGCAAGATGAGTATAACATGGCAGACTGATAGAGAAGCCTCGAAGGGTTCATAACTTGTGTGTTCATGCGCGTGTTGCCCCGTGATAGTTTACATGGCCCGCCGTTCAGAAAGAACCCGGTCCTCAACTCCTTCCCAACCTGGGTGGGCTAGAAATTGTGGTTTCCGAGTGTACCAGGTAGCTATCGTTCACCGTAAATGAGCCATGGAAATGCATGAATTTAACCTCTCAAAAATACCATGCATATATAGTTCAACCCCCTATTTTTTGCATAAAAATTTGATAATAAAAAAGCTGAAACTGTACTCGAATATACTGTATAGTACATCATTATTACTTTTAATTAATTAAATAAGGAATAATTATCAATAATAAAGCTCGATAACCTGAGATAAATAGTATTGTCTGGATGACACCCAACTCTTCAACGTTAATCAGCAACAGTTCCTGAACTCTTAAAAGTGTTACTATCTTACATGTAGTAATGTTATAACTATACCGTACTGCAATTATCTTATTATTTTTACTTCAAAACATCCTTCAGCCTTTGAATGAAACTTGAAATTTTGATAATACCGGTGAATAATGCCGACAGCCAATCACCATTCGTTTGCAGTCTCACTTGCACATAACGGCAACTATCGGCTGTGCAACAGAGAACTAGTATTCAGCTGCCATTTCATGTTGTTTGCAGGGCTTACCGTAGTATGGACATTTTAGAGCAGCAAGTAATGATCATAACAACAACAAAAACTTGGTAATAACATATCAACAAGGACAGTGCTAACACGTTGAGTTTCCAGTACTGTACAGTATGTTACACTCACTTTAAGAACACTATGACCACAGGAGGGAAAAGACCAAGCCGTATTATTAGCTACAAACTTACTGAGTCATGTTCCATATTAGTAAACATTAAATGCTTATATACACTAGAAAGTTTTTTTTTTTTTTATTCTCTGCTGAAATGGGATGTGTGATTTACATTCCTATGTATCTTATATATCATAAAATGCAGCAATAAATTCTCAAATGAAAACTTTTCTCACTTCTATCATTTCAAAACACATTTTAACAAATCATATTTACTATACACAATACATTGTTGTCCATCCATAATGTCTTGAGAGTAAATGAGTCAGAACACGTGATATGTGTCCATATGATCAGCTGGTAAATATTCTCAAAAAGTTTCTATAAAAATTGGTCAGTTGGATTGTATCTATGCATTGTCCTCAATATTGAAATCCACCAAGGTAAAGGAAAGCCTCCGATAACGACGGTTCTACTAGCAACGATTCGTATTTAAGACCCTGGTTAATTTAGGACTCAATTCAATTTATGCCATTATTTTCTTCGTATTTACGATGAAAATAGAATAAAAAATAAAATATAAAAATAATTTTTCATATAAATAATAACTAAATCCTAATATGTATTATAAAAAATAAAAAACACACCTTGCATATGGAGGCTGCCGGGCTTGTGAGTGGTGATGCCAGCATCACTAGTATAAACAGTCGCAACTGGCGGGCCCTTTGTTTTCAGGCATCAACAGGAAAAAGAGAAAAACTTTCTCAGGTTTCTTACTGCATTTTTGTGTCCCTATTGAACATGAACAAGAGAGCAAGTGATGGCAGTGTTAGTTCAAAAGCTAAAAGAAAGTGTATAAGCTTAGCCAAGAAACTAGATGTGTTAAAACAATAAGAAAAAGGTGAGAGGTCTGTGGATATTATATGGAGCAAGCAATGAACATATTTTCTGAAGTGAATTTATTTACAGAATGAAGCATTAAAATCAACAGGGACATGAAAAATGCAAATGACCTCTACATAAAGATAAATAATGAAAAAAGAAAGCTGCTGTGCAATATTCTTTCAACAACTTTATTATTCAAAGGCCTAAACCACCAACTTGAGTTACACCATCAAATTCAGCATCATTAGCAGCTTCAACAACAACTTCAGGTTCAGTAACAGTTTCAGCAATAGCTATGACATCTTTATGGAAAGCTACAGCTTAAGCCAGAGTTGAACCTACAGCTTCAACCAGAGTTCAACCTACAGCTTCAGCCAGAGTTCAACCTGATGACTTTGTCATCTGAGTAAAAACTCACACAACATCATTGGCTGTCCCTATGTTTAAGCTTTTACCACCATTGGTGAGTAGAAATTTTGTTTTACATTCATTAGTATTATTTAAAACATATATGAACAGCATATAAGTGTTGCTTTCATATTCTTATGTAGAGAAGTGACGATATGTTTTCACATATACGCAATTACATACGTTGGCATTCCCAATCCGTCTCGCTTTATTTCTTAACCATAATTGGTTAGCTACTTCTATTGTTCCATTTATTAACATTAAATAACATTACTTAAAACATATATATTAATTTTTTTACATTAATTTTACTCCAGCTATAACCAGGGTCTTATTTTCTTCAGTTTCATATGTAGAACCATTATCACGGCTGTAAACACTAACGAAAACAATGCCGTCCTATCTCCTGTTGTGTGACCATATTATTATTCATTTACTGTATATTGTATAAGGTGCATTCATAAACAATATTTAAAGAATATAGTTTGCATTTCTCATTAATTTTATTGTTTTGGGGGAAAGAGGGTAAAAAGCAACATAAAAGATGAGAAAAGGTCAGTCTTTGGAACGCATCTCATTATTATTGCTTTATTTTAATGGTAATTAATGATTCACGATACGATGATTCACCTTACACTGCAATATTGGAGGACACATTACCGTCGTTATTCGAGGCTTTACTGTACTTAACATGGACTTTCCCTTCCATCTCAGACTACAATTGCACTAGATTCTCAGACCTAGGTCAGACTCTGGCTTACATGTTAAATCAGCCTGTGCAGGTTTTTCTTTGCCCCAATTAGTCCAAGGTGGTGAGGGTTTACTGTATTATATAGTTATTAATTTAAAAAGTTGGACTTCTGTCCAACTGGCTTAAATTTTTGGACATCTAGCAATATACTGGAATACAATACAGTCATTTCTGCTACAACGCGTGTTTTTTCAATGCGAATTGGTTATAAAGCGATTGATGAATAGAAGAATGATATTTGTAAAACGCGAATGCATGTTGGCTGTAACGCGATTCCACTTGAACGTTTAAAGTGTACTGTCACTTGGCGCGGGGTTATGCAGTGTTTACAGTGCTGATGTTGAGGAACTGCTCGAGTCCTACTGTGAAGACCTCTCTACAGCTGATCTAAAACAACTTGTTGCTGCTGGGGAAATTGAAGATGCCAAAGATGATGAAGTCCAGGATGCAAAACCACAAGAGCTTCCCACTTCTCTTTTGTCTTCTATTCTGAGGGAAGTTGATAAGCAGTTGCAGCTCTTGGAAGACAATGACTACAATGCAGAACGGAGCAGGATTGCAGTTCGTGGTGTTAAGTCTTTTTTGGCACCTTATGAACAGCTTCTTTGTGAAAGAAGAAAGACGGCAATGCTGCAAACATTAGACGTCTTTTTTAAGTCAACCCCCAAGAAGCAGTCTGAGGACATGAACCACAGCAATCCACTTCTGGAATTAGAAATTAGACGTTTTTTCGTCCCAACCATGCCACCAAAACTGCACCTGATGATGATGACGATGACAACTCTCAACTCCTGTCTGCATGACTCCTCAACCTCAAAATCACCCTGCTCCCCCATCAAGTTATATTAATATTTTTTCAAGGTAAAGTGTTACATTTACCGTATGATTTCATTATTAGATATGAATGTAACATTTATTTAGACTGTGCTATCCTTTGAGTTAGGCTAACTACTAAAGTTTTTTCGATTTCGAGTAATCTGCACCTAGCCCTATTTTCTCCATAAGCCGTGTTATTTCTATTGCGCAAATTTCTACAACGCGAGGTTTTACAAAAACACAACTATCGCGTTGTAGCAGAACTGACTGTACTGTAAGGAACAGGTTAATTCTAGGTGGCTTTACCAAGTGAAGATCTCATAAGAGTATGGAATCATATAACCCCAAAAGAATTATGACAGATGATCAAGTAACATCTTCTAAATTTTTATAATATATATACCTTTAATACCTTATGTTATAGTTAGCAAATTCAAGTAATAACCTAACTAATTCAAGTAATAACCTAACTCAAATGTCTAGATTGGGCTTAGTTGCTAAAATATGGACAAGGCACTGTGGATCATAAATGTCTTCAGGAGATTGTGTTTCTGGAGTCAATACTGTCACGAATGTAGAAAACCATAACACATCTGGAAAAAAAATACCAATACAGGTACAGTCTCGTTCAAGATTCTTCGAACACTGCTGGAGACAGCTGGCAACTCAAAGCCGTTTGTTTACTTTAGTACGTAGTATAATATAATATGAAACAACAAAGCCCAACCATTAAATTAAGCAACGGGGAACTATGTAACCAATCACCAATCACTTTTACATTTATTCATAATTTTTACTACGTATTATAGTAAACAAACAGCCTTGAGTTGCCAGCTGTCTCCAACAGTGTTCGAAGAATCTTGAACGAGACTGTACATAAAAAAATTAATGGGAAAAGGTTTACCATTCACTTTACAATTAGACCTTATATCAATGGTTTCTCAAACACTGCAGCTCACTTGACTTGCACCTTTGAAAAAATCAGATACACCCCTGTATATAATTTTTCAGTCCAGTACTGTACACAATGAATTAAAGTTATATATGATACACCTGGTTCATCAATCATCCTGAACTGCAAAAAATAACTAAATCAACACATGTCTGTGCAATTTGTCATTTATTTGAACCTTTTATCTTTCCATTTAGGAAAAAATTAATAAAAGTACAGTATTCAATAAACACATTAACTATAATTCATATACAGTACAAGAAAGAACTGCATCCTCAACCAGAATGCTGGGATTAAGTTGGACTCTTCCTGATACTTAAATTTATTTTCAAATTTTGGAAGGATTGTTACTGCTCTGTATCAATATTGTTACTTTGGCTCATTCTTGTTTACTTTTGTATGGTTAGAACCATGGACAATTTATGACTGGAGGTGGCACAGACAGTGATAAACAGGAACCAGACTGAAGCCCATGTGCTGCCATCTTTACATTGGCAAAACAGTCACTATTGGCTGCCACAACCCAAGCACCAGGTAGCATAAAGATTTGTCAAATATATATAAAAAGTCAGTGATAGGTAAAAATAACTGTGGTTGTATCTATTAATAACATTAATTGTTGTGTGATTCATAAAAACAATTAATTCAAATAATTAAACAGTACATTCTTACACTCAGCATAACTTATATAAATATGACCTTATTGACCACTAAACATGAAATGTTTGGTGTAGGTTTGATGACTCTTCAGTATATTTGTAGCTTGCAGTCTTGAGGTAAACTGTTTCCTGTATACCTCACTTGTACTTCTCTGCAACAGTTTTAATTAAAAAAATCATGTGATTTTCTAGTGGACCAATCTCCAACAAATGCTGAGAAATATTGTCTTTGTACTGTAACATGATAATGCTGTACTGAATGATTTTTTTTTAAATACCTGTACTCTTTTCTGGATGAAGAAAGACATGATTCTTTAAAATGGGATACGTTTTCTCTGAACACATTTTCACACACAAAAATAACACATAATCACATCTTCAGATGAAAGAAAAAGCAGGCAGTCCCAGATTTCAAATTGATCAAAGAATGCATCAGGCTTTCAAAAGAAACTATTAATGAACTACAGTGAACCCTCGAAGATCCGGACGAAAAGGGGGGCTACCTGTCCGAAAAAGCCGATTGTCCGAATCTTCTGGCGAATGTTATAAATGTATAAAAACGATAAATAGTGATATAAAGAACACCAAAAATACAGTACAGTGGTCCCTCGGTTAACGAATGGTTCGATTAACGAAATTTCGGTTAACGAATTAGCTCCCATAAGGATTTTCAGTTCGATTAACGAACAAAACTTCAATTAACGAAATCCTTACGATGAACAAGTTTTGTTGTGCTCTTTAGCTGATCAGCTGATGGCTAGTCTGCCAATACAGTAATTGGTTCTATGTTTACATTCGTTTCCAGTGAAGTAAATATCAAGAAAGTTGGTCTATTGAATATTTCTGCATTTTTTATATTAAAATTATTGGTCACTCTGAAATTTAGTTAACATATTGATAATATAGACAGTACAGGGAACAGTTTTTGTGCGCCCATCAGCTGATTGAATCACCCAACAACGCTTCTCAGTTTAACTTTGTTTACAGTGGAGTGAACATCGATTTTGTTGGTCTCTTGAATATTTTTGCATTTTTACATTAAAATTATTGGTTATTCTGAAATTTAGTTAACATATGATAATATACAATGCAGAAATTATTATGAAACATTAAGAAGGCATTAGAACCAATGCACTCTGTAAAGAATATGGCATGTCATCATCGACTGCCTCTACAATCAGCTGTTTGATATGTAAACAAAGCTGCCGGTAATACGACATACACACCTTAAAGGGGGTTAAAATACAGTATTCTATTGCTTTTTATTTATTATTGTACAGTATACTGTACAGTACAGTACTGTATTGTATTGTATTTAGTTTATATTTAATGTTATGTTAATTCTATTACTGGTATACAGTACTTTGTATGTACCTTTTCTGTGAGTTGGAAACAATTACCCAATATCCCACAGAAATAATAGATTCGGTTTACGAAATTTTCGATTAACGAACGACTCTGTGGAACGAATTGTGTTCGTTAACCGAGGGACCACTGTACATATTATCCTGACCACTGGAGTTAGTTATACAGACTTCTTCCTGTGAAAAAGCCATAATTTTGAGCAACATATTACTACACTCCCTTTGTACTCAAATGTATTACACTAATGGACTAAAAATTTTATCTCTTGTGCAAACTATGTGAAGTTTCTACTCAAATTATTTGCTATCTTGCAAGGATTCCAGCAATGCAAGTTATATTCTGCTAAGTTTAGTCTGAGACATATTATATGATAAAAACTTTAACCCTAAAACTACCTTCACCCTGTTTTGGGAATGCTTCTTAAGGAGGCTTTTGAGATCAGAACCCCCAAATTTGTTGTCCAAATCTTCCGAAATCCGGATTTACAGGGCCCAAATCTTTGAGGGTTCACTGTACTGCAAACTTTATGTTGCAGGTATTTTCTTAATCACTTTAAATACTACAAAGCCATATATGTATGCATCAATAATGTTTGTGCACAGAGATAAATGGACAGTGTTAGGAATATACAGTACTGTAATCATCATCATCTGTTGGAATGGGCTCACAATCATCACAGATCATTCTGTTTCTCACTAAAGTTACAATGATAGCCTGAGTAGAAGGGGTGTCTATATCTGTGTTAGATACATAGCTGCTGGATACTGCTAGTGTGGGTACTTATTGTACTGTAATGGCAAACAGTTACCAAAGAGTACATCCCAAACTGAGGGGCATGCCTCCTTTCAGGGGTGTGATGTTGGTACAGGGGGTGAGGTCATGTGATAAAAATATATATTGTACAGTGACAAAAATACAGTGGGGTATGCTATAACGAACGGTTTTACCTATAAAATTGAGAATGCTATAACGAACGCAACTCCTACAACGAACGAGGATGAATACGGGACTATTTCGCCTGGCGCATGAATATTGTTGTACCGCGACCCACAACAAGAGCGTCAGGCGCCATCTTTGTCTCATTGTGTAGCCAGTGCACCAGTGTTATTGTTGAAATTTCGTCTTTTGATGTGGAAATTCGCGTTATTTGTATAACTATTTTGTTATACAAGTATACAATTGTAACAATGAATCGTCCAAAGCGAGTGAGAAAGCTAATAACCCTTGAAACTAGAAAGAAATTATAAAGAAACGTGAGAATGGAAGAAGCATTGCGAAACTTAGTGATGAATATGGGATGGCTAAATCGACTATATGTACGATTTTGAAGAATAAAGAGGAGTTAAAAACTGTGCAAGTGGCTAAGGGAATCTTTAGACTTAGCAAAGCAAGGTGTAATGTGATTGAAGAGATGGAAAATTTACTCTTAGTGTGGATAAAGGAGAAAGAAATGGCAGGTGGTAACATTAGTGAAGCTATAATTTGTGAGAAGGCCAGACAATTGTTTGAGGACCTTAAAGCCAAGACTCCCAGTGGAAGTGGTAGTGCTGTGCCAGTGTTTAGGGGTACCTGCATGCTGAATAACACTAAGGTAAGATAAAGTACCGTATTTTTTACATTTTCCACAGAATTTTTTCAGTGTTAAGTGGTTGTATTTGGGGGCCTGGAACGGATTAATCCTATAACGAACGAATGCTATAACGAACGAGGTTCTGGAACCAGTGGATTAGATTATAGCATCCTGCTATATATATATATATATATATATATATATATATATATATATATATATATATATATATATATATATATATATATATATATATATATATATATATATATATATATATATATATATATATATATATATATATATATATATCGTATATCTCGGCTTATAAGACGGAATTTGAACATTAAAAAAATCTGCCCAAAGTTAGGGGGTCGTCTTAATCACCAAGTATAAAATTCTTACCTCTTAAATATTGCGTGTCAAGAGTGGTGATGGAAACATGGTAAACCACTCACAAAGTCCTACCAGGGAAAGTGACCTTGACTGTGACCGCCTGTAGCTATTTTTAGCCGTCCTTGTGTTCGGAGGTGGTCAGTAATGCATATCTGTATATTTACTGATCATAATACTTATCTCCTATAAATAATTAATTTAAAATTAATTTTTTTACAAAGAATATTCAGTAAATGACTGCGTTAATTCTTGAAACTACCGACAGTGGTAAATTTAGGATATAAATGATGAACAGAAGTCACTTCATGGAGTCATGGATTCGGAGTTTGGTCCTTAATGATCACCTACCAGTTATAATGCTAGCCTCCCTTTTTCGCGAAACAAGTATATAAATTAAAGAAAATACTTGCAGTGTGTTTAATGTATTACAGTATATTATAAATAAATAAATAAACAAATAAATCGGCAAATCTATTTTAAGTAAATGGAAATATTTTACTCACACCAACATTAGTTCCAATTAAATAACTGCCGCTTAAGTGAGTCACTAGTGTACACCAGCCGGTATAATTTGATGCCAATACTTGAAGTGAATTGGCATTATTTTAAATAACCAACAATAAATAAATGGAAAAAAGATCAAAGGTGAGA